TTCCTTATTTTAAAAATTATAATCTCCACTCAGGCTAAAATGCATTTGAAGCACTAGGTGAAGATCTTATATTCCAACAGATAAAAAAGGAAGCACGTATTTCCAAAGTATGTCACTGCCATTTAATTGGTGGTTCATTCTAAAGATATTCAGTAGTTCTTCCCCTGAAGACAGCTGAAGAGAGGGGATCTTGGGAGCACTGAGGTCAGGGTGGGTCGGTATAAATGCGGAAGCGGGAGAACACAAAGAGGCAGGCCAGCAGTAAGCTGGGGAGGAAGGGGTGGCGTATTAAGCATACAGAATTCAGCCACAGGGCAGAGGAGGAAAACTATAGAAATGCATTTCACAAATGTATGATTAAATACTACAGTGGGAGAAAAGGAACTATGCATAAATCAACCTGCGATCCAACGAAAGGCTGTAGGGAGAAAACTAGGTAATGAGCTACAGCAATGGTTTTGCATGACTTAAAGACTGGAGCTGAGAGCCAGAGGCTTTTGGTTAATGGTAGAAGAGGACATAGAACCTCATTCAGAAGTGGGCCACATTTATGTAGTTGAATGTCCACGTGAAGCTCCCTGGACTGCGGGATCAGAGTCAAAATCCAGGATAATGACGAGGGGTCCAATAAAATGTCTAGGGAGTGTTAAGAAGCACACCTCAAGATAAACATATTTGATTTAGCAACTAGATAAAAACTTTGTACTTGATCAGGAGGTGCAAAATTGCATATAGGCTGAAATTTATACCCTCAACATCAATGTCATCTTGCTACCTACAAAGACAAGGAAAATCCCTAAGTAATTTACCCTTGACTTTGAAGTGTACTTTATAATTTCAGAGATGTACTTTGTCCCCACGTGTGCTCGCCTATGGCTGACATCAGCATTTCTGGGGCATGCACTTGCTGATAAGGAGGTGGAGGAAGAAGTGAGTAAAACAAGCCAACCTAGCTTGAAGATGCTCCTTGGAGAGTAGAATGTGCACTTCATTCATTGACTATGCATAGGAGCCACAAAACTATAACATGCACTTTGGGGATGCAGAATACAGATTACACTGATTCCTATCCTCACAGAAATTAATGTCTAATGGACAGAAATGGAATACATAAAATCAACATAAGTACATGCAGATGTGCACAGCAATTACAAGAGGAAGACATCTATAGAATCATGAGTCAGGTTGATTAGTTGAGGACTGACTAGGTAAGCCTCAAAAAGCTGTGTGAAGGAAATAGGCATGTAGTATTTCAGGTCTTCTCAATGTACTTTCAAAGAAAATTTTAGCTTCATGACACTCCCTGATGTCGACCTTGTAGTATGCAATCTCTGCCATCTAAAAAATTACATTTCTAAGATTTACTTACTCAAAATAATACACAAAGCAAATGCAGGTTTGAGGATGTGTGCATTGCTACTTGTCGAACAAAATGTTTACTTCTACGTCAGGGAGCTCGCTGCACTGTGATAGCAGATGGCTGCATGAAGGCACATAGCAACTGCGACTTGTCAGGTATCCGCAGCGGTGACTGGGATAGCTAGGATTTCCCTCCACTGCCTTTAAAAACTTCTATCTTTACCACCATGCAGTCACATCCTAACGTGTGTGTGTATTTGTGCACTGCCATCTGTTCTGATGCCTTATGTCTGATGTCTGTTTACTCAGGCCAGAGGAGTCAGAAAGAAGATTGTCAGTGAGGAGGAATCAAAAACTAATTTTCCATGAAAAATGGAGATTAAGTCCAGAGGAAAATAAGAAATCATATTCATTGTCCAAAGATGGAACAAGAAACATATCTACTTTTTTAAAAAATCAAGAAATTTAAAAAGCATTAATATCGAAGAGTCTAGAAAAAAGCCTGGAAGAGCTCTGGAATTCTACAGGCTGTTGTAATCATCTATCTTGCCAAAAACCCACCCAGCAATTCTTTTTTTTTTAAGAGTCCATGGAGGCTGAAAACATTGACTAATAATCTTTGAATCCATCTCACTATATTACTCATCTCTGCCAAGGTCAGGTTTGGTCGCCGCATGGCTGGAGGTCTGGGCATGCTGTTCCCAGTTTTATTTTTGCAGTAGTTATGGAGCCCTTTTATTTCCAAGGGCCCTCCAGTCACTTATTACCCACCGCCCAGACCACCCACCCCCGTTCCCACACATGATAGTCCAAGCACACCCTCCCACACATGCCCAGATTCCTCCAGCCTTACGGTGCTGCAGGCTGCAGGAACACTGCTCCAAGAGACTTTGCTTTCCATGCTTGGAATTTCCCAAAATAAATCTTTTTGCCTCTCAGGGGAACTATCTATGGAGCTCACCACTAGGCAAACATTTATAGAGCACCTACTGTGTGTAAGGCACAGATGAATGTAGGCGCTAAAGGAAACTCGCTAGGGGGCAGCGAAACCCTCCACTGTGCTGCTGAGAGGCGCCTGGGTTTTCCTGTAGCCAGATGTTTATGTGTGTGGGAGGAGGGTACCTGAGGGCAGAGACCAGTCCTTCCTTTAGCCCAGGTTTCCCTTCTCACCTGCTTCTCCTGTCTTTTTGGTTCATATTTTTCTCCCCAGCTTTTCTTTTGTTGTCTCTCTCCCTCCTGTGTATCTTTTCCTTTTCTCCTTTTTCCACTGAGATAGAAACCACCTCAGAGGCTCTGAACATGTGGGAATTAGCATGTACTTTTCCTGCTTCCTGAGAAACTCTTCACGAACGCAGGCCCCGTGGCCATACAAACTCTAAAAAGGGAAATGCTCATCCTAATGCAGAAAAACTGACTTGGAGGCAGCCGCGTTCCTCCGCACCCCACACCTGGGTGCCTGCCGATCAGGAGGAGGCAGGAGGGAAGCATCACTGTCAGCCCAGGCCGACTGAAGTGTGGACCTTCAGCCTCCACAAAGCTCCCTCAGCCCTTAGGGTAATTTATGAGGTGTCAGGATATTCTGACCACAAGGTCAGAATAGAATGGTTTTTACACTTCAGCTGCCACGAAAGAGAAACAATTTGATTCTGCTTCGCTCTGGCACTGTTTTCATAGTGAGCAGGGGATTTGGGTCTCCTGGAGATTATTTGTCTAAGCACAGACCAAGACTGCTGCTGAGACTCGAGATGTCTGATTTTGACTCTGGCTTTCTTCTTCCTTCCCAGCTCGTGTAGGGAGCCCTTGCCCTTCTTAGTGTAGCAGAATTCACTAGCACAGCCCATCGCTGCGCACCAGGGACCAAAGCCGACTCTTGTGTCACTCCACCTTCCTCCACTGCAGTGTGGGAAACGCGTAAGTGAGGTTAAGAGAAAGCCCTCTCCGAAATTCAGCAGGCCCAGCAGCCCTGCCAAATCCTGGTCGAGTCTGAAGCCGTGTTTCCCTTGGCCTGGAAGCACAGCCTCCTGGCTCCTCCTGAAGCCACGGACTCAGAGATGTTCCACTGCGAGGCCCAGGGCCTGCCTGCTGGGAAAACCCAAGGGCTCATCCTGGGAGAAAGCTCAGAAGAGCGGCAACTCCTCACGGGGTAGCCAGGAAGACAGAGGCAAGGCCGGTCCTGCTGCCGGGACCCCAGCATCCGTGTCCACGGCCAGCCTGGCCAAGACATCTGTGAGTCAGAGTGTGACAGATGATTTCTCCGGGAGCACGGAGCACAGAGAGGGGCTCCTGGTTCTTGGGCCTTCCTGGGACAGCGCTTGTGATCTTCCGTGCTGAACTCATCCTGGGATGGGGCCATATCGCAACCACTAGGAAGACAGGATAAATCAGCATCTACTTTGTCAGACTTTTAAAATGTAACAGTAGTTAAAAAGAATGAAGTAAATCACTGCATACCGATAGGCAATAATCTTTAAGAAACATTAAGGCTACAGTGTAGCTATTGTGTACATAAAAAGAATCGTCTATGTAATAACATGTGCTTATATAGACACAGTCTCAGAAGACAGAAGAAACCTCGCTGTGGGATTTTCATTAGAAAAGGGAGGGAGAAGCTTGGTGGCTCAGAATTAAGTTAGATTTTATTTCACTGCATACCGATAGGCAATAATCTTTAAGAAACATTAAGGCTACAGTGTAGCTATCATGTACATAAAAAGAATCGTCTATGTAATAACATGTGCTTATATAGACACAGTCTCAGAAGACAGAAGAAACCTCGCTGTGGGATTTTCATTAGAAAAGGGAGGGAGAAGCTTGGTGGCTCAGAATTCAGTTGGAGATTTTCTTCTCACTCCACCTTTTTGTATTTTTAAACTTTTAAAACGAAGTCATATTGCCTTTATAGCACAGTTTTTAATTTAAAGAATAAAGTAAAATTTCAGAGAACAAAAAGAAAGGAGGAATAAGAAAAAAAAAATAAAAGATTCAGATTTAGAATGAGCTTAGTGTTTGGGCCAGGCAATTCTCAAAGAAAAAAAAATGCCCCTAAATTAAAGCAACAAATTCATGGTAAGAAGAGCAAAAACTCTGTTGGCTAAATGATCTCCTTGGGTTCTTCTTACTAGTACTTAAGTGCTTATTTCAAAATTCCTTCTTTTTATGTGGGTGAGAGGTTATTTCCCAAAAAGGAACTTTAAGTCAATGGGATGGGGCCCCCTGCAGTTTAATATCCAATAAGCTTCATTTTTTTCCAGACTGGTTTCCTCTCTTTTCTGCAAAGTTTCTGAATTTTTTGCTGTTTGCTGCTTGCCTCAGAAATAATTATACTTCCCACTTCTACAGACTGTTACTGACTAAGCCAAGTAGGTGTGCCGGAAAGAGCATTAAATTCTGGGCCAAGGGATGTGTGTTACAATAATGAATGACTGTGTTAATGTGGTAAATCATTTGATTTCTCTGGGCCTCAGTTTTCTCCTCTGTCAAGGGAAACATTTGAATGAGATGCATTTGCAACAATTATGTGGGCTGGAGTTCAGTCCCCAGTATGTACAAGTGTGTGCGCGTGCGCACACACACACACACACCCCAGCCTTAAATGTTGCGGGTCTTCACTAATGTGTGATCAAACTATTTTCTGCTTGCAGATGGAGCCTGGATGTGCTGCGAACCTGTTACAGAGTCCCATGGTTCTGCTCATTCCGAAAGCAAAGCCATACGTGAACATTCTGTCTTGCTCCTTCAGCAGTTACAAATAACTTGACTGCTTTTCCAAAGATGAAACAAGATTCTGAAGGTTAGTTACGCCCTGCCAACTGACAGATGACCACTGTCACAACCATCAGCTCATTGGCAGAGATCATCATAGAGAACTCATGATTGTTAGACCAAAAATGTTATTAGAATGAATCTTGTCCCTCCAGTCCACTGTAAGTATTGGGATTACTAGACGGTGAAGAATTAATATCTGCTGGTAGCATAGCCTGCTAGTGCTGTCAGTGTGAACAAGAAAGGCCGTGGAGATATTAAGAAAGGAAGACAGGAGAATGGTCAGGACTGTAGTACCATCCCTCGGGTGGGAAAATGAAAGAACTCGCTTGGTTAGCAGCTAACCTGAAACAGTCTGATCATTTCTCTGTGAAAGGATCCCCTCTCCCACTCCATTTTCCCTCAACATAAAATTGATTCTCATTTCTTTCCCCAAACAACAATTTACCTTTGCCGTGTGTGTCTTTTTTCTCCTCAACTCTACAACACAGTTTAGATTGGCCTTCCCTGTTAGCTATGGCTTTAAAATTTATAATGCTGTCATGACATCGGTGCTCTAAGTTAATAGAGTGGTGGAAACACAAACTCCAGAGAGGTAAGATAGTCTAGGGCCTAAGGCTGTGAACTTTCGAGCCATAATACCTGGGTTCAATTTTAGCTCTGGCCTTGAAGAGAAGGAATCAGCTAGGTGGGTGAGCAGTGCCCAGGGATTTGAACGTGCTGTCAAGGTCTCCATCCGTACAGCCAGGGGCTGTTGGAGCAAGCCCAGCCACCCCATCACAAGATTATTTAGAGAATTGCAGTAGCTCTTTGACAAGTCAAAAGTATTTGCACTAGATTGGGGGAGGCTTCAGTTGGTAATAATGTAATGAAGTTACAGACTAGAAGGGATGAAAAGGGAAAATTTATAGCCGCTAAGTTTTAAATATTTTCTGAGGCTCAGAAATTGATCCAAGCCCATTATCTATTGAATGGGTTAAAGGAAAATGGTTGAAGAAGCCATGACTATCACAGCACAGACATTGACAAGGAGCTGTGTCTTCCTTCCATGAAGTTGTGCTTCTCTGCACTGACTTAAGATGCAACCATGGCCCCACCAACCAGGGCCAGTTTCACCTGCTCTCCGTGGTCAATGGTAAAAAGCTCTTGATGAAAATAAGGAGCCATGGGGTGCAACCAAAATTTTGTTTTATTTCCTCCTGCTTTCTTTGCCATCACCCAGCTTATGTTCATTTCACATTGCAGGGCTGTGGCTGGTACCGCTGCTTGATGAAGTCAGTGATGGTTTCCAAAGAGCACTTGTGCTTAAGCACAAAGAGTAAACATATCCAAGTACTCTTAGGTCTATTTTAAGGAATGAGTTGTTCATTGGCCTTCTTGGCATTATTATTTGATAGGGCCAATTGCTGCTCATACAAGAGATGAGAGATAACACATGGAAAAATGTAAAAGAAAAGAAAAGAAAAGAAAGAAAGAAAAGAATCACAGCCTTGCCTTTTACTTGCTGTGTAAGCCTGAGAAAGTTATCAACCGTCTGTGCCAGTTTCCTTGTCTGAAAAATGAGGAAATAGACCCTGCTTCCTCACGTGATCACAGTAATTAAACAGCCTAATGTAGGTAAAAGGCTAGAAACTGGTTGACAGGCAGCAAGCCTTACATATTAACCTTATTATTGTTATTATCATTTGCTATACAAGATTACCCTTAAGGCCAACCACCCTGTGCTGAGTATGTAACTCATGTAGAGATGCTACTTCTGAATCCTCCTGCCCTCAGAGCCCCTGTCGGTGCCTCTCCAGGACTGTAATTAACTGTAACTCTCCCCAGAGTGCACCACCTGTGAGGCGCCTCCATCCTCAGTGCCTCAGGTTTGCTTATTGACCTTCCTGCTCCTCACTTGTCCGTGTCCCCTCGCCGAAAATATATCTTGGCCTTTTCTTTAACTTTTACTCAATCTTCTCTAATTTCTTGCTCTAACTTTGCCTGGGATTCAGATGAAAATATTAAAAAAGAAAATCTGAAAGCTTGAAAGGAAGAGGCAAGCCAACCATAATCACTATCTGTCTTTCTTACCATCTTTGTTTCTCCAAGGTGAAATATTCCGTCCAGTTTGCCCTCAGTGGAAGGAGATCCCAGAAACATCGTCTTTTGTGAGTAGACACTGTTGACTGTGTACCCACACCCGCTTCCCCCTCTTACTTGCTAATTAAGCAAAGGCCATAGTTTTGAAGCTATTGAACCTCTTTTCGGGACCCTCTTGCAATTCCACTTCGTTTTCCAGTGTCCGGAAGGGGGCCTGTGACCCTAACCTGGCTCACTCGGCCTAAGAGAAAGTCTGCTGGGGAGTAGGGAGGGAGGAGCTTGTGAAAACTATAGTCTTTCTCTTAAAAAAATAACAGCCACACAGAAGCTCATAATGAAAAAGTGTTTGCCTTGTCTCGCTGTCATTGGATGGGGATGTGATAGTGCAAGCTGTGACAGCTGTGTGAACACAATATGGTGCACACCTGAGGGCAGGTGCTGAGGCGCTGAGATGGTAAAGGAAGAATGGGTGACCGTGACGAGGCCACTGTGCCACTGGGACTGTCTGCAGCAGTCTCATCTCTGACTTGTCTGGTAAAGTACAAAGCTAAGGAACCTGATCTGTGGGTAGCTGATCCTAACTCGTACAAATGCATATGCACTTTGCAAGGCATATAGAGTCCTTTGTAATAGCACATTAATTCATAGCCTCCCCCTCCCCACGATACCTATTAAATGAATGCTATGGTCTAGATCTAGAATGTCCCCAAAGCCTCACATATTCACAGGCAGGGCTTTTGGAAGGTAACTGAGTTAGGGGTACTTCTCTGACTTGCCAATTACGGCCTGATCCTAACCCTGGTCTGGAAGGGTATATTTGTTTCCCCATTTCCTCTCTGCTTTTCTGCTTCCTGGCTGCCATACAGTGAGCAGTTCTCCTCCACCAGACCCTTCCACCAGACCCTTCCAGCTTTAGACCCAACTGACCATGGACCAAGACTGTGAGCCAAAACAAACCTCTCCCTCCTTAAGCTGAGGGTGTTGTGTATTTTGTCTTCACAATGAGAAAAATAAAACAAAACACTTTCTATATTCACAGTATCATTATTGATACTTCTTTATTGACTTTTCTATTAAAAACAGATTTTTCTGTCATAATGTTATAAATATTTTACCCAATTAGCTCCAAATTTTTATAAGTTCAAAATTCCCTTTTTAAAATCATGTTATGAATTTATAATCTAGTTATAAATTCATTTGATTCTTTCATGGTTCAGGCCGTATTTATTATCACATTCTAGACAGACTTTAAGTAAAATCATGACTTTGGACCCAAAGAAATACAGAGTAATATTTATTAGTTAGGCAAATGGATAATCTATTTATTTTCTCTGTTACGAAGAAGAAATGAGATGATATGCATGAAACGCTTTACTAAGCCTTGGCACAGTATAAAAAAATCTCAAAAAAAACTGTAGAGGACAAAAGAAGGAAGTGGAGTTGGGGGATAAAATGTAAAGGAAGAAGAAAGGGAAAATAAAAATGTCAAAAGGAGAAGGAAGAGATCTAGGGCACAAGAAGAAAAGGGCAAACTAGTGGGAAAGACAAAAAGAAAAATTGGAAGGAGGTAAAAACAGGAAGAAAGGGGGAAAGGAAGAAAAGCAAGAAGGTGAGAAGAAGAGATGTGATGATGATGGTGATGAAGAAGAGGAAGAGAAGAATGATGATTTTTGAGCCAGAGAAGACCATTGACAGACAGACAGATTAAAGTACTTTGAGAGCCCAGACAAAACTCTGATCATCTACTTTTTAATGCAATGTGATTTCCCCCCTAAAGGGGTGGTATTATATGATTGACACTCTTTCATGTAGTTTGAATATATTTACTCCAAATATCACAACAAAGAGAATCATTCTTTACTACAAAGCTTATAACCCTTGGGCAATAATCCTTGTATTTCAAAGAAGTGATCGATTCATTAAGATTCCAGTGCAATCAAAGTGGAGATGTCCCAGGAGTTTGAGGTACAGCTAAACTAAACAAGTGAAAATCAAGACAAACAATTCACTACGTTTCTTCTCTGATGGCCAGGAGTCCTCCTTCTTCAGTGATGACAGGACAAGATGAAGGAGCACTGGTTTTGTTTTTGTTTTTGATGCAAGAGAGCGGTCTTGACAATGAGAGCTGATAAAAGCCCCCTCTGGTACCATGGCACTGGTTGTAAGATGTTTCCTATAGAAAACCTGCTTTCTAACTGGACTCATTTTGTACAACTGGATATGGGCAAAGAGCAGGGCGAATGAAGGTAGGCAGGCAACCGGAAAGAGTCTCAGAAAGTTTTCCAGGCCAGTGCTTCTGAACTGCGGCCAACTCCTAAGTGTTTTCTACCATGGGGTGTAGGGAGAGGAGGTTCTTTCTGTTCTTTAGGGTCGTTTATGAGCACGAGCTCTTTCCCTGCCTTCTTGTCTCTTGAGGATGTTGTCATGCATCCTGCATCTGTAACATTCTCCTTCTTGCTACGAGGAACACATGCAGCCTTCCGGTCTGTCTGTCCTTCCTGTTCTATGCTGTTTGTGTTCCTAGTTTTCATTAGCATGCATTCTAGCCTGAGATTTTGTGGCCTCACTGTGTGCCAAGTTCCCATGAGGCATTATCCTTAGCAACCATTTCTCAGACACATCCGTGGGTATTGTTGGTTCTCATCTTCCCTCTACCAAGTGAGAGCCTACTAAATCCACATCACCCTAAACCCACCTGTGCATCCTGGTGCCATTACCTTCCACCGTCAGCTCTCAACTGTGGCATCTTGTCACCATGCATCACAGTTCCGGGACAGTGACTTCACCCTCACATTGGCCTGAACTAGTAATGGAGAAAATGGAGAAGCCCAATCTTTCCAGTGCAGAAGACCTGTGCATTGTTTGTTGTGAGCAGCCCTTGGGGATGGAGGATTTCAAGTTCAGCTTTTATGTGGCCCATTTTTCAATTGGACAACATGCTGCATGGCATTTCCCTTCCTCCCTTAACCCCTTCTCTTTTATTACCGCATGACTTCATCTCCCCGTGTGACTGACAGAGCCCACTGGGCTCAACACTGATAAAAAACATCTGCAGGGGAAAATTGCAATTTAGAAAACAATTAAGTACATCAATTTCAATTCATTTAGTTGGCCAGAGAAAGAAAAGTTATTTCAAAGAGGTAATTTGATCTACGGCAGTCACGATTAAAAAGCGCCCAGATCAGCTTTCTCCAGGTTGTAGGGTGAAGGAATGTCTTCTTAGCTCAGAGGTCTAAATGCAGACCTAAGTCCTTATGCTGCAGATTGTAACAAACAAACCACTGAGCGTTTCTCCAGCTTTCTTGTTTCTTCCCATTTTAAAGACTTTCTTCTATTCTTCCTGAATAGAATTCCAGAGAACTTAAGAGCTCCCTTGAAGATGTATGTTTGTGTGTTTCCATGTCAGGTGCTCACCAGCTGCTCACTTGTTACAGGAGCTCAGTAAGTGAACCTTGGTTTACTGTTAAGGGTCCTATCCTAAGGAGTGTGTGTGTGTGTGTGTGTGTGTGTGTGTGTGTTTGCTGAATTTCTCTTCCACTTTCCTCACTAGCCCTGTGATTGCCGACCGGTCCTTCCCTCTGAGATGCTCAGAATCTTCATGAATCATGTCCTCACGTTTTATCTGCAGAACCATAGAGAAAGAAATTTAATAGCAACAAGTTTGACTCTTGGCTTCTCCTGTTTTGCCAAAAACATATCTAAATACAAATTGTAACCACTGCTTTCTCTTGCTGCTAACTTTTTACAGAATAGTCACTGTAATTCATACCTTCATTATATTTCATTTACCTGTAACATCAGTCTTACTAAGTAGGTACTATCATTCCTATATTTTTCTGATAAGAAATGGATGTTTCTATTCTAAGACAAAGATGTTCACCCACAGAAAAGAAGAGTAATTTGAACTAATTTTTTTCAGCTTCTTAAATTTGTACTCTAAATAGCACAATCTAGAAAATAAACTCTGGAAAGCTTAGTCCAGTGATAAGTGATTTCAACATTTTTTGCCTCATTTAAATAAGTACACATGCATACAACAACTACTGTCTGGCCCCAGAGTAGTTCCTCGATGAATCATTTCCACTTATTCCCCCATTTTTATTTCAATTTCCTTCAAAGTTCAGAATACACAAAGGATTATCAAATACCCTGTTGAGGTTTTATTACAGTCCCCACTTCGTATCACCCATTTGGCCAAAAGACATAAAAACAAGCTCCAGGAAGCAGATACTTTAGCTTAACTGACTGAGAATATTATGAGGAAGCCTCATTTGAGAAAAGGGCCAACTTGTAGAAAAGACCCTATAAGAGACCTCACTCATTTTCTTTCAAAGTCTGGCTTGGGAACCAACATAAAACATCCCCACTTTCACAGTGAGCATGGGTTCCTTTTGCCTCCTGTAGGCAGGGACTGCAATTCCAACAACATCCTCAGGCCGTATGGAAACTTGGGGTGACCCTCATCATGGAATGAGCCAGGGTTGATGTCGCGAACACCGATTTGCGTTTCGGGATCACGGGTCAGCGCATCAATGATTGTCAATTCGGTTTCGTTTT